TAGACCAAAATAAGAATTCCAATTGCCATTGTTAATTTGTTACACTATTATACTCACCACATTAACACATTATAATTGCTATACTATCACCGACACACTACCATTCGTTACCGCCGACCACTAGAGTGCCACCGCGATCGCCGACAATTGACTGATTAGACTGACATATTATATTGTCATCACTTTTCCATCATACTATCAACGCGTACTCTTACACTACACTGTCATTATACTCATATTTTGGTCCTAAAAGACTTAGGACTCCCATTTTAATATTTTCATACTTTTTTACTCATATCCAAGATGATTTCTTTTTTTATACCATAAATATTTAAATTATTCTTTCACATAATCCTTATAAACTACTCCGTATTAAAATTAAGGAGGTTGACTTGCACTTTAACATAACTCTCTTTGATGCATATTTTTCTTTTTGTAATATTTTTAAAAAAATTCGTGAAATTCAAACTGAAAACATTTTTAGGTCATACAAGTATGTATGTAACATCTTTCAAGAATATTCATCATATACATATTTGATTTTTTATTTAAATAAATATTATGTTGCATATGTAAGCAATGAAATACAATAAATTTTTATTCTTTTTAAGGATACTACCTCCGTCTCTGGGTACTTCTCAAGTTTTGACTTTTTCACATAATCATTTTTAACTTTTGACGTATAATCAAATAAAATGTATATTGTATATTAATATGATAAATTAATATTTTGGAAATATTTTATATAATAAATCTAATAAATTTATTTTAGTATCAATATCTAATACGTCTTCTCTCCCATAAAAGTTTTTCAACTTTGACTTTTAGGCTTGAGATTTCTTTTTAAAAGTTATGTTTCACATCAACAAATAGGAAAAAATAATGGAAATAGAGGATCAATTAAAAACAAAAAGTAAGATAAGATTTGACAGATGAGATATTAGAAAGTATGATTAAAGAGGGGTATTTTTGTCCATTTTGAAGAAATTGGAATGTTTTATGGGACGGGTAAGAGGAGAAAGTTGAAATGTGTTGTCACACCGAAGGAGTATCACTTTTATTTTAACTCGAGGTCAAAACTAATCAATTTGAATCAAAAAAGTTAAAAGTAGACAATACGAAGGAAGTAAATCTTCTTATTTTGTTTGTATATGTTAAATGCATTATTAAATGAATAAAATGAAGTCATCCAATTTAGCTGAAAAAAATAAATTTTTATTAGGACTTACCCGAGCACCAACGGGGAGATGCGGTGAGCTCAATGGTGTACGAGGCGAACGCGAGGGTAAGAGATCCGATCTACGGTTGCGTGGGGGCAATATCGTCACTCCAGCAACAAATCGACACCCTCCGAACCCAACTCGCGATATCGCAAGCGGAGGTGGTGCACTTGAGAATGCGACAAGCCATGTCTAACAGCGGCAGCGGCATCACTTCCTCGGAGGAGGACGATGTTTCTCCGCCGCCGCCGCCGCCACCACCATCCCATCATGATGACCATCATAATCATCGTCATCATCATCAAACAAGGTTTCTTTTTAGCATGGACATGGTGATGGACCAATCAACAACATGGGGAAGTGGCCATTGTGGTTATGCTATCTAATTTAGCAACCAAACGGCATGGCCGGTGTCGTTTTCCATGGAGTAATGTTTTGTACGTTGTTGCTATAATCACCCTAGCATTTTCCTTTTCGGATTATGCTAGGGTGCCACCACATGGTTGCACACATGCTTCACACAAACAAACACAGACGATAATTGTCTGTGCGACATAGACAATTATCGTCTGTGTTTGTCTATGTGAAGCATGAGTGCACCCATGTAGCACACATGTCGTGGCACCCTAGCATTTTCTTTTTCTTTATTGTCCTTTAGTTTCACGTCTCTTTTTACTCTTTTTATTATGTTTAGCTAGAGAAAAAAAAGTTTATCTAGAAAGAAAACTGATCAGGATTATATATATTATAATGAAACGTTGTGGCTAGCATTTTCTTTTTCTTTATTGTCCTTTAATTTCTTTCTTTTTACGGTTTGCAATGCAATATTTTGACCATTAACATTTTTATTTATAAAATTATATATACAAATATGGATTATAAAAGAGTTAACTGGCATTTTCTTTTTCTTTATTGTCCTTTAATTTCTTTCTTTTTACGGTTTGCAATGCAATATTTTGACCATTAACATTTTTATTTATAAAATTATATATACAAATATGGATTATAAAAGAGTTAACTGGGTGTTGCTAAATCCAACCATCTTTTTATTATATTCACCCTATTTGTTAAAAATGACAAGTTTATCCTTAAAGTGTAAAAACAAGGAATTCGGAAAAACAACATACGAGTTAACTTAAGGATAAAATTGGACAGTCGTCACAAATGGGGTAGATATAGCAAAAAGATGAGTGGATTTAGCAACACCCTTATAACTTTAGAATACTCAATATTTTAAAAGTAAAAACTATATGCTTCAAATTGAATCTATTAAAATTAAATTTGTATGGTTATTTATATTTTTAATAATGCGGGAGTGAATAATCATTTATTTTATAAATTGGGGGGGGGGGGGGAGGAAAGAATAATATTTTTTCACTAATTTAAAATTAATGTCAGGGAGAAGAATCATATTTTTAAGTCCTATAATCATAGGATCGGTAGTCCGGTTTATTTTTTTAAAAATTAAGATAGAAGAGAAAAATTATAAGATCACTAGTGTTTTTTGTATTTATTTTATTAACTAAATACAAAAAATTTAGTAAACATAGATTATTTACATTTTGGAATTTATATAATATGCATCACACAAAATTAATGAGAAAAAATAGATATAAAAATAAAAATAATGAAAAATGAGTCTACTCATTATATTAGAATAGATATAAAAATAATGAAAAATGAAAAAATAACTAAAATCATACAAAATTAATGAAAAAAGTAATCTATAGAAATTAACCAGAAACTGGTAAGAAATAAAATAAAAATATATAAAGTGGTGAGTTTTAACATTTTACACACTATACAGAGCATTATTGTATTACTTCTTATTTTTAGAAAAATTATCTAGAATAATCCTAATTTTACTCGTGCTTTCAAAAAAACAAGTACATTAATACTATGTATAATGCTAAAAATGTTAGAGCACTCTACTTGTTATATTTTTTATATTTATCTTTCAATTTCAATTTAATTTTTATTGATGACCTTGTTTATTTCATTATGTTTTTAAGATTTTATTTGTTTTTCTCATTTTTGATATTTTTATATTTATTTTTATAAGATAAGACTAATCTTTAAAAAAGGAAAAGAAATTGAAGTAAAAAATCATTTTAAAAAATTAAGTAAAAATTTCAAAAAAAATAAAAATGAAAATTCATTAAAAATAATCTCAACTTTCATTTTGTTGCACAAAACAGACTGTTCTATTAACAGAGATTCGTTTCATTATGTTCAACTCATTTCGTTTCACTATGTTACACTCATTTTCAAAACTTACAAATTTTAGGAAAATTGAGATTATTATTCATTACAGTGAAGGATGAGACTATTTTTGAAAGACAGAAGTAAAGTAAAGATTATTTTAGATAATTTTTTCTTTAATTTTTCAAATTTTTCACTTATTCTACCCTTCCATGGTAATACTACGGAGTAATTTTTTGAAATAAAGACATTCAATATTGATATATGTGAAATTTGTACTAAATAGGACTAAAACATAATGACTTTCCTAATGTAGGACTTAAACTTTTTTATTTCTTAAATAGGACTTAATAATGACATAGTGAGAGAAATAATGTCTTGTAATGTTAGATATTTACTTGAATAATGACTACTTGATAATGACCAAAAGTCCTACATTGAGAAATTAAAACATATGGTCCTATATTGGGAAAATCATTATGTTTTAGTCTTATTTAGGCAAATTTCTCTTTATATATTCATGCTCCGTATCAATTATGAAAAAGTAGCGTAATTTTTTTTATTTATAGAAGTGTAAAATTTTATACTCCGGCATCAAATTACTCCGTATACTTTTTTGTTGTTGGATAAATTAGAGGTTAAATTGTATAAGGTAGTGTTTGGCAACTAGCATTTCATTTTAATTCATGCATTTCAATTCCAAAATTTGAAATCTTGAATTTCAAATGACAAGGGGAGTTGCATGAATATTAAATTAAGCTTTGTTATGAATGAAAAGAATTTGACTCAAACCCAAATTCAAAATTTTTAAGTTTCCAAACATGAAATTTGAGTCAAACCCGGATTTGAAATCCAAATCCATATTCCCAAACATACCATAATTGAATTCTATATTAGAGTTGTTAAATTTATCGGTAAGCTCAGGTTCGGGTTCAAATTAAGAATTACATGTTCATGAATTTGTATCATTGAATTTGGGTCGATCCAATGAATTATGACTTTTATTATGGAGTACCAAATATTATGCTTGTGATTCTTTTTTTTATAATATCTTTCTACGGATAATCTTTTTCAATCTTTTGTCACATTAGTCTTTAGTTAAAGGTTTAAAGTGTAATTTCACAATGATCAAATACGTTTCTTATCATGACCAATTTAGAAGTCGCCTTGGATGCGACGTTTGTCAACTTGAGTCGTTGTCTCCTGCAACTAAATTCCAGAAATGTCGTCTCTACTCAAAATCCTAGTTCACGGATATAGTCATTATTCTTGTTTTGTCTGTTAGGCAACATAAAAGAGTGGTGCTTACTTAGTCCCAATGCTTACATGAATATTTTCTTTTTTGTAACGGGTCCAGTTTTTAAAGCTCTAAATAGACTAAAATCCATAAAACGTACATATATCTTAAGTCGACGAAAGAATTACCAACGTCGAAATATGTCAAAGGACATAAAGATGATGTCCAATAAAGATTACAAATCTAATATGAAGTGGAGTATTTGATAATAAAATGCATATTTATTATAAAAAATTAATTATAAAATTACTCTAAATTAAACTATGCTGTTATTTGAGTAGATTAGATGTTTAATTTGCCTCTAATCTAATTACCGGGAGATATTTCCATTTTGGATGATTTTGAAGTCTGATCATTCTTCACGGGAGGATATTTTCCCACTTTTTTCCCAATAAAATCTCCGAATTGCTCTGAAAATATCTTCTAAATCTAGAGAAAGTTCTATAGATTAGTGACACTACCACCGACGACCAACGATGACCGCCGTCGCCGTCGCAGAGGAGAACGACGTTCTGGACACGCCGTTACTGGATGCGGAGCGGGCCAATCTGCTGCACCGTATCACGGAAGAAGGCGGCTACGCTTACGCGAGAATGGAAGCGCAAGCGGCCGGAGGCGATCCTAAGGCGGCGGAGGCGGCGAGGGAGATGGCCTGGGAGCAGCTGCATTCCGGTCCGTGGCATTCGGTTGTCCCCGTCTGGAGGGACGCGTACTCCTTAGCGTGTCTTCACGTGGCCAGGCTCCATTACGCCGCCGGCGAGTTCCGCCAGGCGATTCGAGCTCTAGACATGGGCATCATCATGGGCGGATTGACCCTCCGAGACGACTTAAATCTCGCAATACGAAAGGCCACTAGAAAAGCCAGCAGTTCTCCAGAAGCTTCTCCAGCAAATGATCAATTGGAACAATCGCATAGAATAGCTTCTCGAGATCTTAGCATAGAAGAGGTGAGGTTCGTTTCTTTTACACACATTCCATCTCTGTCTTCTTTCTGATTTGTTGTTAAGATAAATCTAAACTAGCCACTGAATGTCTGCAAATGAGCATTTCATATTGAGGACCTATGTGTGTTACAAATTCAGACGGATGTTGATCATATGTGAAAAACCATTCACTGATTTTATTTTGCAATTTCTGCAATTTCACATTGTTATGTGCTAAACGGATGTAGATCTTCGTGTTTCTACACCTACCAGCAAAAGGATGGATCTCAAACAATCAAAATTTCAGATGGAATGCTAGGCTAAGAGTTCACATGCAGTGTTTCTAATTATGCAATAGCTTAAAACTTTCCACTTGAGTAATATATTTTGTTACCAAACTTGGTCTGCAGTCTAATAAATGGGATGTATATCTCAAAGTAGGAAATGTAACCAGGATCATGATTTGTCAAAGGGCTTTTAATGTAAGAAGTAGATACATGTGCCTAAGTTTGAGCTAAACCTGACCCTTTTAATTTGAATAAAGATGTATCTTACAACAAAAGTTGTACAACACCATCTCTTTACTTACATGCATTTTTTTCACTCTCACGGACATTGATCTTTGTGCAAAGACTATGAGTGCATATGAGAGGAGACTGGAGAGTAAAGATATCATCACACAGACAAGAGAATAAAAAGTTTGTGATAATAATTTTTTTGTTTTGTTTATGTGTGTAAAAAAATGGTGTTGTTCAATCTTGGTGTACAACTTTTGTTGTATGAACTACAATTTGCTGATGGTAGAAGTTTTCTTAAAGAGATAGATGTGTTCTAGATAGTGGTACAAGCTTCTTTTACCATTGCATCAGATGCATGTTGAGTGGTGTAAAATGCATAGAAGTGCTTTGAGAAACTCATGGAGTACAATTACAATTTAATTAATATGGAAATGAAATTAATCCTTCTATTTTATTTTGGCTACATTCCCTTATTTTGCTCACTGTTTCATGAATTACTTTCTATATTTTGTCTGCTCCATTTCTGCCAATATGAGGTCTTGACTACTCCTTACTGGGTAGTGTATACTACCTAGTGTGTTTAAGTGATTATACATGTATTGTTTTACAATGTAGGATACTACCCAGTATATCTGTAAGTGATGTAAGTGGAGAACAGCCTGAACAGGCTTAAAGATGTCAGAAAAACTATCCAGTGCTGTGAGTCAATCTTGATAGTGAGTTTTCATGTTGGATCCTTTTCATCTAACTCAAATATGTGAAATTGACTTGATCCTAACTAAACACTCCGTGTGTCCCAAATGGTTGTCTGCTTCATACAACACCAAGGCTTGATTGTAGTAATTTTCAGCTTTATTTTTGTACTAAATTTTAATTAACTGAATTAAGTTTGGGTATTTAAACTACACTACAGTTTCTTTAATTTTAGAGGTGATGTGACTATTTAAGTAATTTAACTACGGAGTATGGATTTTTGTTAAAGAGAACAGATAAATAGAGAAAAGAACATTAAATTTACATCCATTTTGGAACAGAGGTAGTCTGAATTTGATATTCTTTTTTTGGCATGGTTCTTTTATAATCGTATGCTTTCAAATTACTCCGGTACTATTTTTATCTTCTTTCTCCCATTGCATTATCTCTTTGTCTCAGGTTTTTTTGTTGAACTGACTTTTTTGTGTATCATAAAGACTGTAGATTTTTGTTGATTGCAAGTGTGAAATTAGTTTTAAATTGTTCTCAAAAAAATAGTGATCATTTGGATTGGATTTGCAGGTAATGCAGATATTGCCTATAAAGTCACTCTCTTGTAAAATGGTTAGCAAAAGGTCTGCATTATCATTGGAAAGTTTCCTAAGGGACCATTTTTTAACAGGTTCACCTGTTATAATCAAAGATTCAATGGATCACTGGCCAGCAAAAAGCAAGTGGAGCGATTTGAGCTACTTACGTAGCATTGCCGGATTTCGTACTGTTCCAGTTGAGGTAATTGAGATTTCGTATACTATAATTTAAATTGTCTAGTCTATCAATCTAGTAAAACATCCAGCTGTTCAATGTGTATGCAGATAGGATGTTAAGCCTTTGTTTGCATTCTTTCAATGTTTCGCTTTATTTATCATTTTTTATTTACCAGGCCTTGTTACTGTATTGTGTAAATGCTTATAAATAATCTACTACGTAGTAACTAATTCTTTAAGAGCCTGGACAGGAACTTCTTGTGTAAAAACTGTCTCCCTATGTCTCTCAGAAAGCCATGATTGAAAACTTAATACATTTTCCAAATAAAATATGTCCTATTTGAACTGAAAAAGCCAATATTCATCATATTTAATGTTTCTTTTTAATGAATTGAGTGTGTTAAATCTAGTTAAACCAACAAATGAAGCTAAAATAGCTATAATTGATGATTTCCAATACTTCACTAAAACTTAAAAAATGGTTGTACTTTTATTAAATAAAATCTTGATTTAGAATGGAGGGCAAATATTTAAGATATATTTTTACTTTTTATGAAATAAACTCTTGTTTTGGAAGAGAGGGAGCAATGATTGATACTAGTATGAGATCACCAAACCAAAATATGATTCCTATGGCATGCATGTGTCCTAGATTATCAATAGTATGATCCAAGATTTTAAAAAATATCTAAAATTTGCATTGTGAATATTATGATCAAGGTAGGAAAGAACTATTTGTGCTCAGATTGGAAACAAGAGCTGATCACATTCTCTGAGTTTCTAGAGAGGATTCAGAGCAATGGTTATGCTTTCGCTGAAACTACATACCTAGCTCAGCACCAGTTATTTGATCAGGTACAAGATTTTGCAAATGCATGAGGTAGCCATCTATTGTTTCTGATGCCAGTGGCTTAACTCTTATGGTCTTAACTTAAATGTCAGATCCAAGAGCTAAAGCAGGACATTCTTATCCCTGATTACTGTTTTGCTGGAGGTGGGGAAATCAGATCGCTTAATGCTTGGTTTGGCCCGGCTGGTACAGTGACACCGTTGCATCATGACCCTCATCATAATATACTTGCTCAGGTATTAATAACCTGGTGCAATGCTATAAATATGGTTTAACTCATAAGTAAAGCCTATTATCGACTACCAAGTTCGTTCTATAATGTGTACATAAACCTGAAAACAGGTTAGTGCAAGGAAGTCATGGGTCTTCTTGCTTTCATTAGGAATATGAAATGACTTTAGGGAAAACCTATGATTGTCATTGGCGTCATACCCAAATCTTTATTTTTACTTTTGAATTAGTGGAATGGCTAGCTACACCCTTTGATGCCACTTGTTGAATCACATAAATTTTGGGTTTCTTCGTATTGGTTTTTCGTTCGATACTATTTGTTGGGTAATACGGAGTACGGAGTATTCTTTTACGTGATATACTCTTGTTTAATTCTCTAGGGAAAATTCTTACAAAGATACCAAACCCACATGTGATATCTAGTTATGCTTGGTGGTAATTGCGTTCATACTTTCAGGTGGTTGGCAAAAAGTATATTAGGCTTTACCCTGCCACACTCTCAGAAGAGCTTTACCCACACACCGAGAAAATGCTATGCAATTCCAGCCAGGTGACTCTCTTGCATGTTTGATATTATGTGATTAGTGTATTGATACATGTGTTTGCCATGAGGTAAAACCTCAATGTGGCAGTGATATTAGTAACCCCATTAACACAGAACAAAACTTTGATAAGCCGTATCTGATTGTTAGACTAACCATGACCTTGTGTTTGGGATATTTAAGAATATTTTCATTAGAGATACTCCCACCGTCCCAAAATAAGGTTCCTCATTTGGTTTGGCACAAAGATTAAGAAAAGTAAAATTGTATGGTTGAAAGTGATGCAAAGGAGAGCAAAAGATTCTGAGCCCTAGAAAGTTTCCAAAACTGGAAAGAAGAGTCTTTTTTTGGGACGTCTCGAATAGTTAATGAGGAGTCTTTTTTTTTGGAACAAAGGAAGTATTTGTTACGTATAAAAATAATGAAAAATGATTTTAAGAAGTTGTTACAAAATATACAAGTCAACAATAACTCATTACAATCCCAACTTTGTTGGGGTCTGGAGGGTCAAGATTTACGGTCTTACCTCTGTAAATATAGAGAATACAGACGCTCTTTCGGTCAGATCCTAGTGCATTCCTGCATTTACTGTCCAAAACTTCATAGAGCGTAAGAAGCAAGAGAAGTTTAGTGAGCCTTTTTCTATTCAGTACGGAGTACATTGTGTTTCTCGATACTAAAACATTGTCAATGATGACTATTTTAGCTTCATTAGCAATGGATGGAGTATATAAAAACATAATGTATGGAGTATGTGAAAATATAATGTCGAGAATCCTTTTTTTACCCCAAGGGGAGGTAATTTTTTCTTTTCCACACTTCAGCGCATTTGTCTTTGGGTTTTCTCTCATCCATCGCTCGAAATCTCTATTTGAAGGTGGATCTCGACAACATGGATGAAAGACAATTCCCAAAGATGGCAGAGCTCGAGTTCCAAGATTGCATCTTAGAGGAAGGGGAGATGCTATACATACCCCCGAGATGGTGGCACTACGTTCGCTCTCTCACCACAAGCTTCTCGGTCAGTTTTTGGTGGAGCAATACCGACAACGGTTCATGAGGTTCACACTTATTCTTCTTCTCAATTCTTTTGTGTCATAACTTATAGCTCTTCTTTTGTGCAACACAAAACAAGTTAATGTGGGATTTCAATTGTACCATCATCCCTCTTGCAATTCTTCCCTTTGGTTCTTCCTTTTCTTCTTCTTGATTGGAAACATGGGAATTATGGCTAAAATCTAATTTGATTGAATTTCTTTTCAATTCCATCACAAGAAAAGTTTTCAAACAGCTCAATGGGGAGCCCCATTGTCCATGTTGTAATGCATTTTGGTTTCCACACAGAGTGCTAGGAAAAACTCAGGTAGAAAAAACTCACAATTGGTACTTTGGGAGCTTAATGGTTTGTTTGGATGAGACGAGAAAATAAGATGAAATAAAAATGAGAGAAAATAAAATACTGAGGAAATGAAGAGAGAGAAAGTTTAGTGTTTGGATTAATATAGATTGATAAGAGTATTTGAAGATATTGCGTATGAATTATTAGTTTATTAGGAGTCTTCTCAAATACTCCCTCCGACTGGAAAATAATTTCTAATACATAATTCACACGGTCAAATCTTGATTATTTTTTTTATTCATTTTTTATTTATCTGATAAAATAATGTAATTATATCATATTTTCTTTTGTATATCTTTTGATATAGTTTTAAAATATTTATTTTTTATTTTAACTAATTTTGAGATAAATTGAATTAAATAACTTTAATAAAACATTGTAAATAGCACGTGAACCTAATTTCTGTAGGAAAGGAGTACGGAATTGTCGATTTTTCAATTGAATTAGAGCAACTTTAATGAAGTCACTAGGGTTTTAGTTGATTTTTTAGTTTATTACTCCACAATTGTTTACTCGATCTGCTGTTACTGCACATAAAACTGAGCAACAGAGAAAGACTAAAGTTTAGGCATACTGAGTTTAAACTGGTTTCTATTGGAAAAAAAGATGAGCTCCATCTCGGAGAGCCCTCTCAGACTCGACGGAACGGTCATTGAGAGTAGATAAATTGGACTTTAATTGCAGATTAATGCTAAAGACTGGAGCCTGCACCTGGTACTTGCAGAAGCCCTATTTTAGCATAATTGCATCCCAGCGCAGTTGGCAGGAATCGAACTTGGGTGTTACCTCATTGGCACTCCTTGTCTTGTCAACTGTGCAACGGCTACGGACATGTTTCCATGAAATAGAGCATGAAATGGACCCTACATATAAATCCTTTCTTATGACAAGATATAAATCTATTATGAGGGGTTTTCCCCCCTTCATATTTAGTGTTTTATTATCAAATATTATGTTTGTAATCTTTTGTTTATTGGTACCCTACTCCGGGTGCATTTTGGTTGCCAATGTGGTTTCCGTTATTGTTTTATTAGAAATCATTCTAAATAGGACTAAAACATAGAGAAAAGTACCAAAATAAGACTTTCATGTTTTTTTTCCCGGAATAGGACTTTGCACTGTGGTAATGTGACTTTGCATTGTGGTAATGTGGCAGTGTACATGTGCATATTACCACAGTGCAAAGTCCTATTCTGGGAAAAAAACATGAAAGTCCTATTTTGGTACTTTTCTCTATGTTTTACTCCTATTTAGTATGATTTCTATACCATTATTGCTTCAAAGAAGCAGAACCAAAATCTGCATTTAGTTAATCGAGTTTGTGATCTTTCAACTTATTCTTGTTAATTATTATGCACGAAATCAATCCTTCAAAAATGTAACTCATGAGAGAAGCCTCAAAATTCAATTCGACGTACTCCAATAATTTTAAAAAGATTAAATCTAATCTTTTTTTGTGTCTCATTTTTTATTAAATAATTATAAAAGTAATTATAAACGGCATACTTGATATAGTAGCACCTTGTTAAGAGATTGTACGGAGTGCTCATTATATTCATAGATAGGCTTTTATGTTATAAAAAATTTGAGTCGGGTCGGGTGCGGGTTCGGATCGGGTAAAATTATAAACCCACACCCAACCTGACCCGATGTCGGGTTCAGGTAAAAAGTTTTGGGTCGGGTTTGGATTATTTTATTCTCGGTTTGGGTTTGGATATTTTAGTGGTTGGTCGGGTTGGTTAAGATTATGTTCGAGTTGAATTGTCATCCCTAGCTCATATAGAGTCTTTTTTATAATAGGTCTATGTAATAGTCGGTTTAGAACATAATATGTTGTATTGACCGCTTTTCTTGAAAAGCATTGAGGTAGTTTGTGCTCATTTAACATGATCCTTGACATCTCTTGTAACGTTCTATTTTTCGTTTCCACTACTCCATTTTGTTGAAGTGTTCTTGGAGCCGAGAAATTGTGTGAAATTCCATGCTCATCGCAATATACTTCAAATTCAGATTCTTTATATTTTCCACCTTTATCACTTTTGATTGAAGTAATAGAATATCCTTTCTCTTTTTGAATTTTCTTGCACAATTTAACAAACGCATTAAAAATTTTATTTTTATTGGCAAGTAATATAGCCCAAGTATAACGAGAAAAATCATCTACAATGTGTTGAAACAATAGACTTGGGCCCAATTCAACTCTAAAAGTTAACTCAAGAGGTTGAGGTACCCAAGCTATTAAATAACAGCATAATATAAGGTTGCATTGCCGATGTGGATGGACAAGTCAACACGCCCCCCCTCACAAGAGGCACAGATTACTGCGGGTGCGGTCCCAACATCAATAGCTTAGCTTTGATACCATGTTGAAATAATAGATTTGGACTCAATTCAACCCCAAAAGTTAACTCAAGAGGTTGAGGTATCCAAGCTATTAAATAGCAGCACAATATAATGTTGCATTGCCGATGTGAGATGAACAAGTCAACACAATGACTAATGTAAAACTAGCTCCACCCAGACTTTGTAAGTCTACGAGCTCAAATAAAACCATATGTAATGATTCAAGTGGCGTTTACGTTAGATTCATCTTTATGGGTTTGGAAGAGATCTTATGTTGTTTTCTAAGAGAGCATGTATCACAAAAATGAGAAGGAGGTATGCTCATTTTCGTCAATCCAACAATTAAGTCCTTATATGTAAGTTTTTATAAAAGATCATAACTCGCATGTCCTAACCTACGGTGACATATAGTAGACAATTCAAGTGAAGTGACAAGACAAATGATTTTTGAGTTGTTCAAATCCTTTGAATTGAACTTATACAAGTTTCTATCACTTTTAGCCTCAAGAATGATTTCATTATTGTTTAAGTCATATAAGACACAAGAATTTGCGTTAAGCTCAATTTTATGATCTTTGTCACAAAGTTGACTTATGCTAATAAAATTAAACTTCAGGCCATCAACAAGATAAAAATCATTTACAATATAATCACTTGAAATATCAATCATACCTTTGCTGATGATTTTTTTTCTTTGTTTTGTCTCCAAGAGTGACATGTCTGTGACTTTTCTCCAGTAAACCATGTTCTTGTTCTAGTCATTTGTCTTAAACACCCACAATCAACTATCCAAATAGTTTTTTCACCTAGTCAAAGAAGAATCGAACTTGTGATCTTGGCTCCGATACCACTTGTAGGACTTCAAGTGCTACCGACTCTTTTAAAACCAATTGGCGTTTAGAAGACGCGCATACCCTAGCTTTATAGTGCATTCTGCACACACAAGCGCCCACGACATCCGATTGGGACTTGACCCACATAGTCTCTGCCAGGTGACGATTGATGCACACATGACCAACAATAATTTTAAAAGTCGGAATTTATTATTTATCTAAATTTTAAAATCCTTTATATATTATATTTGGGAGTTTAACTCCTAGAATTTTGACATTTGTCATGCTGACAGGGATTTTTTTTGATACTTCATAAGCCATGTCATCATATTGGACTTACTCAATATTTCAAACGGGTTGGATAATGATTCATTACTTTGGGCTTCTTTTATTTGGGCTACTCTGTGTGGAATTCATCTGCAAGTCTGAATGAAGCGAGACATCAGCGGCACTTTCCTTTGATTGCACCTCCCTGCGATATTCATCTTCGAATGCTGCGAGATTTCAGAGAATATGTGATTGGAATTAATCTCTTTCCTTCTTCACGGTCCTTCTTCACGGAGATTCCAACGATCGGCACCAAGAATATGTAACTTTCCCTTTTCTTAAAAAATCATAATTTTTCTTGGGATGATTGGACTTCTTTCCTTCTTATGATGATTAGTCTCTGCAAAATTTTTTCTTCTTTCGATATTTCCGGTTCAAATCTCTGGATTTTCTACCCTTATTGTTGTGAGTTTCCTTCTTGCGATTTATATTAGGTCATATATAAATCAAATTTTAAGTAAGTCATTTGATCAATCTATTTTTTCATTGCAAGCCACGTTCATGCCTAAACCTCTGATTAATTGACATGTCTTCAAAACCGATCCACCCTTTGTTGAAGATCAATCCATTAAGTGAATGCTGGAGAGTTTTGGTTCGTGTGATTCGACTGTACAAGATGCCAGTGTATAATGATGAGAAGATGACGAATTCGATTGAGATGATATTCATGGACGAACATGTAAGAATTGTACTCTTATTCGTATTTTGCATACAATATAAAATTTATGTTTAATAGGATTTATTATAATTTTTTAGAGGCTAGAAGGTTATTTTGCTTTTACTTTCAAAACACAATTATACTAATCTGTATAAAAAACCAAAATTCTTCAGTTGCCCATATTGAATAAATAAATGAAGAATGATAAGTCTGTTGTTCTTAAAGTATAATGAGTCTGCTTTCCTTGAAGCTTCTATTTTCAGCACCATAAAAAATAATTTTTTTTATTAAAGTACTGAAGAGTTGAGCATGTCCTTATTTTCAAATTTATAGTCTGCTGTTTTTGAACATATTTTATGGTGTGGAGTTTAGTTTTTAATCTCTTGAAGTGTCTCCAGATTCAAAGTATTGGAAAAACAAAACACATTATAGTCTGTTTAGTTTTTTTAGTGCCTATTCATGTTGAAGTTTCTCCAGTGCCTAAAACCATGAGACTAAATTTTTTTAATACTACCTAAGAAGAAATTCTTATAATTTATGTAATAATAACTTTGCCGTTCTTAAAGTGTAATAAGTCTGCTGTCCTTGAATCTTCTATTTTCAGCACCATAAAAACATATTTTTTTATTAAAGTATTGACGACTTGAGTCTGTCCTTATTTTTCAGACCTTAATTTCAGATTTATA